TAATAATATAAAATTTATGAAATAAAACATCTTCTGTTTTCAAGGAAATTTCAGTTTCATAACGATAAAATTATTCTGGAGCATGAGAGTTGGTGAGAGAAGCATTCAAAAAGCAAAGCCACCTAGTATGTAACTAATTTAAAAGTTAGTAAATAAATATAAATAATTTGAGACGGTAGTAGTGGTGTCCTTTTTAGCAAGTTTAATATCACGTAACTATTACGGTAAACACATCTATAAGAGAATAGATTAATTTCTTTCTAAAACTGTATCTTACCATCTTCAGTTAGTTTTGGGCAGCGTTCTATACTTAAATTGACCAAGCTAGACATACTAAGAACTGGAAGGACATAGTAAGTGTTCATAAGTCCACCAAAAGATCCATCCTTTTCTTGTGAGCGAAGAATCTGTTTTATTGCTTTTTCTTCATCAAAACTGTCCTCGTCAGGTTCTGTTTCAGATGCAAACAAAGCCTGTAATGATGTACCAAAGGTTTTAGAAACTTTACATACAGGATGTTCATTAAAGACCACCCACAAATTGTCGCATAAAATGAAAAGTCTTTTGTAAGTCAAAATTTTTTCTCTAAATTTGGTTTTTAATCCTATAAAAATATTTAAAAATGGACTTTTTAAGGAGCACGCAAGATGAGAATTTCTAATAACGGACGCAGAAGAAATACTTTTATGTAATAAAAAAATGAGGAAAGCACGAGCCTTCTGGATGCTAATAATCCGTGTGCATCATTTAGTTTGTTTAAAATTTATTTTTTACTAAACTATAATGATATAGAGTAATTCTCGCCTTGCCTTAGAAACAATTCCTATTACAAAAGGGCGCGCATTTTTCAGAACTGACATAAAAACTGCCACCAAACTGTGACTTCTGAATATGCCTGTCGTCAAACTTTATTCTTCAGGTTTGTCTTTCTCTTAAAAAGCAGATTTCATTTATTTATTATTATTATTTTTTACTGTTTCCATTTTCAAAAATTTTTTTCTCAAGCTAAGACTATGTTGATGTACATTTGATTTAAAGTAAATGAGATAAAAATTCAAATGTAGTTAGCATTTAATTTATGATATTCTACACAGAAAGCTAATTAGTTTGAACTAAGAATCAATTTTAGATGCGTCACATCAAAATCTCTCTCGGAGTTTCTCTTTATTGTATAATTTAGACAGATTTATTTTATTTGCATTTAATTTTCTAGTAAGTATTCATGAATAACTTCATAAATGTCTTAAATAATCAAACCGGTGGTATTAGTTTAATTTTAAATTGCATTTTTTAAAATTATATACCCATGTTTTTTACATTGAAATTTTTTCTCTGGCCATTTTTTGTACATCATGTATTATTTGATAACATAAATAATTGCAAAAATTACATCATCCAGTTTTCTAGTTTTTTCCCAGAACTTTTGGTAAACAAAAGAACCAATTATTTTAGCTTCTAAATATATCTACAGTAGAAACACACTTACTTTAATTATCAATTATATAGATTTAATTTTTATAATTATTGTTTCTGTTTGTTCCTATGACGCAAAACATTCTTCACTAAAAGTCTTATATTTCATGGACGACAAAACAATCCATTTGAACAATCTATTCTAACGTCTTCTCGACGATTTTTTAAAAGTTTCGTTTCGCTCAACGGGCTGCAAAGCTCTCATGCAAGATTAAAAGGAAATGGTTAAATGGTATAGTTGGTTTGAATCTCAGAGAAATACATTGCTTCCACGCTAATCTTAGAGCATATAAAAAGGTGTTTTTTCTCAATGAACACTAGCCTAGACGGTCTTAACGCCACGCTGCGGCGAAAAGTTTAACAATTGGTTAGATGCATGAGTTTATCGTTTTCTTTTATTATTTTTAAACACTATACTAATCATCAAACCAACCATGTAACATTAAGTTTTTATAAGGGAGATATTTTTAGAATTGCACCAGGGTGCGAAAATCGTAGTTTTTATGAATGCTATCATACACACTTCATCTTTAGTATTCTTTATTTCTTGTTTAATAAATGGGCTTTATGCATATTTGTTTTGCTTCTAAACCTTTATTTGGTGGATCTGGCATTATCCATCATTCATGGACAAGTGTGTAGTTGACGAAGATGTAATTCCTCACTGAAAGTTCTCACCTGAGGACATTGTGATAGATCTTGTTCTTTCCTGGCAATTTCTCTTGTGACAGACGATAGTGAAATTTGTCTTTCTTTTGAGATCCAAAAAAAATAAATAATAATAATAACCGAAGTCCAGCATCACTATCAGTTGGCAGTGAGTGTGTGGGTGACTACTTTGATCAGCCAGCTAAACTATTCTATTGTAAAGTGCTCGACTTAGGTCATTTGACTACCAAAGCGGGGAAGCTGTCCTCTCTGCATGGGATAAACATTGTGATGGAATATCTTCGAATCATTCTCAAGAATGATTCTCAGACCGCAGCCTATAGCCCATTGAGCAGCTCCAAAGCGATGTTAATAAAGCACTACTACTACTTATAAGATTCATACCAGCTATTTTTTTGAGTTTATTTTGTTAGCTGGTATGCAAAAGAGAGCCAGAGAATGGTTTGACAGTAAATTTAATAAAAATGAACTAAATATCTGTATCCTATGAAAATAATTTTCAATAGTTTGAAATCAAGAAGAAGGAATACATTTTTTTTAAAGTTTCGGCAAAGTTTATATCCTTTAAACAAGAGAAAAATATAATTTCCTTAATTTATTGAAATGGTCTGTCAGAATATTCTCTAAGAAAGGATTTTGTCAAAAACGTATATATTTTTTTTCAGTGTCCCCAGTATCATTTCGTTCCACAAGAATGTTTATATCATAGCCCCTCTGATTAGTCTTACAAAAACTCTACTCTTATATGAATATAAATACTTTTGAAATATTTATAAAACAAACTGATACGTTATACCTGCAAAACTAGGGCTGTTGTCTTGATGTTCTCAACAGTTCCATTTCTATATTGTTTCTTTTTTATTTCCATTGTATAATCTGGTAATTCTTCACGGTTAAAACTGCTATCAGGCTGAGCAGATGCGCAAGCTAATGCCATAACTATTATTGCTTGAGTGTCTGAAAACATAACATAACCATTGAAAACCCTCGTTTACAGCTGACGAAAAATTATTATCCGTAACTTTAAACAGAAAGTTGTCAAAATCCATTTTATTTTTACAAGCTCATTTGAGAACACAGTTGAGTCTTTTCAGTTTAGGCTTACTCACACTTAAATAAAACCGAAACCAGCATGAACACAACGAGTAAGAGATAATATTAAATTTTCTCCAGAAAGGATGTTTCATACTTGTTAGCTTAATAAGTTTAGTTTCCAAACGGCCCGTTTAGAGTTTCTTTATCGTCGGGCTAACCATGCATGCTCTCAATAAATCGCAAGAGCAATTGAATTCTTCTGGAAAAGTTTAAGTCTAAGAATTTTTTTATTTTTCGTGTTGGATTTAAAATTGCAAGGAATCATTATCATTGGAATTGCAAATCTGAGTACACGTGTTGGTTTCAACATTTTCTGCTCAGCGTTAGTATTAAAATAAAATTTTCACCCAGAGTATCAAAAGATTTAGGAGCTTGTAGTAATGCAGTTTCCAATGCACATAAGATATGTTTTTAAAATTAGTGAAGACATTTTTCATTCACTTTATTAAAGTACTTTGAAATCATCCTATGTTTAAATGAAGCTACGTTAACAAATATTGTTAAAAATTAAGTAAATAAATGAAAAACGAATAAATTAGTAAGTCTACCCTTGGCAGCTGTTTTCATAGCTAAATCTTAGCTCTTATATAATCTTAGCTTTACACCCGAAATTTCCCCCCCCTCGAATTCCTTCTGTATTCTTTTTTAAATATGGTTTCAAAAATGTATAAAAATGAGATAATAAATTCATATGTTTACATTAACATAAAAGCGTAATAAATTTATTATAACTTGCAAAATATTGATTCATTAGAAAATGTGAATTTTTTCATACTTTTGTATAACTTCTATAACACTTAGCCAGTTATTCGGAACCGGCCAGGTAGAGGATTCAGTTTTTGCCACGTACCGGGTATTTGGATCTGGCAAAATTTTTATACCCGTTACATTTTTAAATAAAACCATTCGGTCGTCAAAATGGGCGACAGAGGCATCTTTGCTCATTCATCAATATGTTAACATATGTTGCAAATATATCACTGATTCACACGCACGAACAGAAAGAGAAAATAATACTTTATTAGTTGAAGCTGAAAGCGTATAGAAGAGTAATGAACATGTAGTTGTTTTCTTATATATATATATATATATATATATGTAGTTATTATTAAAATTTTATGCACACTAAAAGGATAGACGTATAAATGATATTACCTGGATTTGAATTTCTGTTGGGTATATTTATTACAGATTAATAAGGATAATTAAGCATTTGTCAAAAATATATCAAACATTACCTGTTCTGTGTTCTGCATTAGCTTTCTGGAATGCAGCTAGCAACTTTTCAATATCATTTAAGGTGATAAAATCTTGGGCATTACACAGTGCTAGTATTGCGTACGGGTTTGCAACGTTGTTAGCATCCACCCGTTTTCTTAGCTGCCCGATCAAATCAACCATATAGAATTTCCGAGGATTCATACAAAAGGCAAGAAAACTATTGACATAAGTCGCAAGTTCAGACGTCTTGATATCTTCCATATTTCTTCTAAGAAAAAATACTACGCTTAATACTATTCTATTAATTTAAACTGTTGACTATAACAATGTTACTAATTTTACCATTATGACATATATACAGAAACACTAATTGTTACATTGGGAAATATTTAGTTCCTCCATCTTATCAGCTTATTTATTTTATCCCTGGGAAAATATCTACACAACCCAAAATCTCATTTTTCTGTGGAGAAGATTGGAGCTTTTTGACGATGCTTTTATATATTGTGAAATTTCTGACTTTCTTCGAGCCCTGATATGTGTATTTGTTACCTGATTCATTATTTGTGTTTAAGAGCTTAATCTCATTGCTCGAACAATGTGCTAACTCTAACGTATGATGATGCACGGCTTGCACCAAGAACAAGCAGTAATAACAAGTAAAAAGGGGCAAAATCGGAACTGCCAAAAGAGCGAGTTTTGAGCTTAGAAATCATATAATTTATTTCTATTATTAAAAACAAAATTATCTGTTTCAAAATATTGCATCACAAAATAAGTTGTAGTAAGCAGCTGTATCCTTTCTCACCGGAAGTAGAGCAGGTTAGGATATGGGCATTGTTTTTTTCTTCTTTTTATTTCTCTTCTTTTTTCAAATGGCAGCACTGAACATTATTCTTCGCCTTAGAAGATGCCGGAAGTGCTACTCATTTCACGTTACCCAGTGGGCACCTGTTAACCAAAGTCACGGAGGCGAGCAACATTACCCACGCCACATTGCCACAAACCCGTTTATAGGGTGGGCCACGTACACACATCACACACAAGAGAGGACAACACAAGAGAGAGAAACATCCATGCCCAGAGCGGGATTCGAACCCGCAGCCATTGGCTTCGCAGTTAGGCGCGCTAACCGCTCTGCCACCTGGCCGGCGAGATGGGCATTGTTGTTGTTTACATTTATATTGAAAGCACTATCCATAGAAATGCCAATTTAGACAGTCGACATAAGATGAAAAACAAATGAAAGGGAAGTCTTACTTTTTGATATGAGTGAAGGTTGGGATGAATTGCTGAATAGATAGTATGGGTGCCAGAACGTCTCCATTTCAGGATCATCCATTATACCCGATAGAGCGAATATATATGGTTTTCTACTCCTAACATTGTACTCAAATCTGGAAAGAAAAGTATTCTTATGATAAAATATATATGTTATGTTAAAAGTATATTTCACGTATAGGGAAATTTCTAAAATCATGGGGCTAATTTAAAAGAAAGATAAGAATTGCACAAGAACCCATGAAAGATAGTGTCGTCGTCCACCTTGTCCCTATTTCCATTTAAGAGGTTTAGAACTCCCACTTTTTCTCGAGAAAAAGAAGATCAAAGCGGAGTTTGAGGGAGTAGATGGTCCCATCCGCTGTGTTAAAATGAGGTAAATCAATTTAAACATAGGAGTACATTTTCAAATGATGAATATTGTTTAGAACAGTGATTCTCAACCTTTTTTGGGGGGCGGAACACTTTAAACGATTTCGAAATTTGACGGCACACAATGAAAAAAAATTAGTTTCAAACTTGTTTACTTACCTATAATACACCGTGTTAAATAGTTTGTGATAATAATTTTGAATGTGAAATAAAAAAATATGCACTACAAAAGCACGTTTATTAAGGGATTAATTATTTCTTTCGATTAGTTTTTTATTAGTTAGTAACAATTATTATTTTTTTTGCTAGTTATTAATTGTTAGCTTGTTTTCTATAGCTATTAACTGTTATTTTTTTGTGATTTCTTGATAACTAGTTCTTTCGCTGATTATTAATTGTTAGCTTATTTTTTTGTTAGTTATCCTTTGTCAATTTGTTTTTATAACTATTAATAGCAAAGCTTACTTTAATGATTAACTTTTATTTCCGTTTGAAAGTTAATATTTAGCTTGCTTAAAGCGTGGAAAAATTATAAAATGTATATATAAATATATACAATATTTTATATATATACACACTTTTCTTTAATTTAAACTTTACTCGCAATTAAAAAAAAAACATTATTATCTTTATTATATCATTTCTAATATTTGGCGGCACACAAAAGTGCCGCGGAACAGTGGTTGAGAATCACTGGTTTAGAACGTCCAATGGACGCCAAAAAAAAANAACAGAGATAAAATATTTCTTCAAAGGAAAAAAAAAAAAAAAAAAAAGAAGTCCATGCGTGTTAGGAGCATATAGCTGAGGAAACAAAAATTCAACTTCAAATTATTTAGTTTTTTTTTAGTGCAATTCTATAAACTTGATTTATCTGCCTTTTTGCGAAATCCTCTTTTAACTTCTCCTTTTTATTTTTTTTAACAGTAGAAAAACGTGTCAAAACCTTTAGTGTTGCTATTTTAATGCGTGCAGCAAAGTCTCGAACATTATTAAATTCGTCTTTTAAAAACACCTAAATGAACTTACTTATACTTGTCATCGACGCCAGCGGCATACTCCATAACACCATAAAATGAAGTATTGGCAGGAACACTGAGAGTTAAACTTCTTTGTAAGACTTTGTCATCTCCAATCCAAATAGAATAGCTAATATTCCACTTTTCGCCTAATTGAATTTTTAAAAGCTCCAGACCTTCATTTTCTAAATAGATTACAGTTTATTTTTTAACATCATATCACATCTTTTTACACTTAAAGGCATTTTAAATATTTTATACTAGCCGCCAAAGGCGGCCAGCTGTCCGCCNGACAAAAAGTATAAAAAGAAATAAGATAAAAAAGGAAGAAAATTAATAAGTTTAATTTACTGCGCACAAGCTGCAAGTGTATAGAACTCATGAAATAAGTTAAAATATGAAGACAAAATGGAAAATATTAAAGATTAATGAAAAGAGGAGAAGAAAAATTATTCAAATAAATTATTTAAAAATTAAAATTAAAAGAAAAGTATATTAAACAGCCGGGAAAAAAATGAAAAGGTATAGTTTCTTCATCAGCTCACACGATAAAATCCGCAGAAAGGAGTGCTTTCTAACATTGTATCGATATAACCAAAGCAAAATATATCAGTACAATAGTGTGAGGAGTAATACAATACAATAGGAGCACCCAAAAAATATTAAAACAAAATAGAGCACATTAAGCAAAAAATATATCATGTAAAAAACATGAAATAAAATGCAAAGAAAAAACAGAACAAAACACAAAGCGAAATCTATAAAGCGAGTAGCGAATTCAAATGAACTTACATGTACGGGAAACTTTCAAGAATGATTTTCAATATTTTCGTAATGAGATTGTCAGATTACAAAATATGAAAACAGAAGCCAAAATGAAGGTAAAATTTTAAATAAAGGGAGTTTGTTTATGTTTTTCTCTTTTTTTTTTTGTCCATGAAACAAAATCCCTCTATTACGGAAATATTTTTTTAAAGTTTCCCGTGCATGTAAGTTCATTTGAATACGTTACTTTATAGATTTTATAACTTTATAGATTTCGTTTTGTGTTTTGTTCTGTTTTTTCTTCGCATTTTATTTTCTGTTTCTTTCGTGATATATTTTTACTTAATGTGTTCTATTTTATTTAAATTTTTTTAGTGCTCCTCACACTATTGTATTGATATATTTTACTTTAGCTATAATGATACAATATTAGAAAGCACTCCTTTTTGCGGATAAATCGTGTGAGTTGATGAAGAGATTATATCTTTTCATTTTTTTTCCAGCTGTTTAAAATATATTTTTGTTAAATAATTACTTTTAAATAATCAGTTTTAATAATTTATATTAATAATTTTTAAAA